GGTGAAAGAACATTTTTACTGCACTTAGGCATAAGTGAAAATATTTTCACAAACAGTACTATGTAGTACTTATTAAAATAACCATTCTTTAGAAGAATTTGAATATAACAACTTTTAGTTTTGCACTTGAAATACTTTCCTTTTTCTTGAAAAAATTGTATTTTTTTTTTTTACAATATTAAAATGGAAATTAACCATAAATTGTCCCAACTATAATATCATATGTAAGGATACCTGTAGTTAACTCTCCAAAACAGATGGCCGGAAGATGCATTCACACTGGACATAGCAGAAATACTGAAATATTACTGACATTTTGAAAAATATAGCTGAATTCTAAATTCACTTCCTTGTAGGAAAGTCAAAATGCAACACACTCTATATTCCTAGGTATTTTTCCATTATTTCCATTTTCAAAAGAAGGGTAAAAATATATACAGTAACAATAAAAGCTTTTTTCTTTTTTTTTTCTTTTTAATAATTTTCTGCATTTTTATTTTTCCATTTCTTGTTACTAAGATTCAAGGGCCAATTCTACAGTAAGATTGGTGATTACTTACTGGCGAAAGAATCTGGAGCACTAATAACACAGCATTTATTTAACTACAATAAAACATAAGCACAGATCAGGGTGTTCAGAACACAGATGCAAATCCCAGGAGTTGTTCTATAAAAGATGTAGAAAAAAAATCTTTAAAACTTATTCTCACAGAAGATGCAGATTATTCATACTAAGTTAAGTCTTCAATACTGCCTTTAAAGTTTATAGCGATGCTAATGAGAAGCCGACACAAAAAATGAATTTAACCTTATAATAGGCTCTTTTATTTTTTTTCTGGAACTGCCTTCTTGCCAATTTAGAGAGCATGCCATGCAATTTGAACATCTTTTATCAATGTTTATGAAAAACCAAGACTACTTTTATCTACAAATGCTCAGCCTTCTCCAGATGGCTACTTTAAAACTCTGATGTAATTACCAGATGTCTTACAGTAAACTGAAGAATCTGAGACTCTCCCAAGCATGAAACCAGCCAAATGCTAAACATCTGTAAATTCTGGAAACACAAATCCTGAATTAATTCTGGCATTCCTACACCACGCTGCTTTGCTTTCAAGCTTAAATGAAGCAAAAGTGGAAGACTGCATGCCATGTGAGTGTGACCATGAGAGATGGGTCATGATTTAGAGCAGAAAAGCTTTACTGACATTACAGGAAACAGAAAAGATAACTAGTTATAATAGATCCCTTATATTTTTGAGCTATCTATTGATCCTCACTCTCAATACCTTTGTATAATTCCTAGAACAATCTGAATGATGATGACAAATGAGAATGAATAATGTTTTATCTTCAAATTCCATCTGGTCTATAACAACGTTCTATTAACAAACTCAAAAATTCCATTAAACACATGATTCATCAAAATTATTTTGTAGAGTTTAAGCAGACTGAGATTATGATTAAATTAACAGAGTAGCTTGGCTGTTTGAAGTTCTGCAATGTATGCACAAGGACAGTTAATTTGAGAGGAATTGTGATCCCAGGTTAATGAAGGTTGCTTGAATCACTAACATAATGCATTAACACTCTCCGAAGGGCGAGCATCACTTTTCATACACTGGTAACCCATCACAATTAGCAAACAAGCTATACAAGCTTCATCCACTCACGCAGCTACTTATTACATTAAAATTCTCTTCACCATGCAGATACTCAGCATCAAGAAAATAATGTGACACAGAAGCAACAGGAATATTATTTTCTTCCACAATAACCTTAATTAGCACTTAGGATATTTACTGTAAATATAGATCACAAGATTTCTTTTTTTAAAACAAAGTTACTGAATTCATATCAACCATACAGTTCTCTTTAGCCACAGTACAGCAGAACTAATATCAACACAAAAAGACAAAAGTAAAAAGAAATGGAAAACAGTAAAGCATGATAACATACAATTTAATCAAACTATGTCGCGATTCCACCAAAAAGCCAACCAGGTCAGGACCTCTTACCCAAGGCATCCAAAAGTTTATAAAATGACAGCAGTACACATCCACCATTGGCTAACAAATAACTAAAGCTTTATTTCAATCTTACATGCACTTCCGTGTATTTTTCTGGCAAAAGAAAACTGAGTGCACAGCCTTCTAGACAAAAAGAAACAGCCCTAAGAGCACTTAAAGATGCATACCTTTTACTATCCAAAATTTTAACTGGACTACTGTATTATAAGGGTTGTGATCAGCAGTACAAAGTCCAGTTTACAGCTAATTAATAATGGCATTCCTCAGGGGTCAGTACTGGGGTCAGCTCTGCGCAACACCTTTATTAACAACTAATGACGGCATAAAGTGGACTCTGTGTTTGTGGATGATAGATGCAGATTGGGAGAAGTGGTTGACATGTTGAAAGTCAGGGGTACTATTTGGAGGGACTTTGGCAGGCTGAAGGAACAGCTGATAGGAACCTCCTGAAGTTCAGGAGAGGCAAATGTCTGGTACCTGGGATGGAACAGTCTCATGCAACAGTACTGACTGGGCACCAACTGGCTGGAGAGCAAGTCTGCCAAGAAGGACTTGGGGCCCCTGGTGGACAACAGGCTGTACCCATGTCAGCAGTGTGTCCTTGCAGAAAGGAAGGACAGCTGTATGCTAGGAGAGAAGCCAGCAGGTCAGCAGAAGTGGTTCTTCCCCTGTATTCACCACTTGTGAGACTGGGTCTGCAGCATTATGTTCAATTCTGGGACACTAGCATGCAAGAGCAAGTCCATGGAGGGCAACCAAGGTAGTTAGGAAGCTGGAGCACTTTACACATGAAAGGAGGCTGGCAGAACTGGGTTTGTTCAGCCTTAAAAACAAAAGTCTATGAACAGCTGCAACTACCTAATGGAAGGGTGTAGAGAAGATGGACCCAGATTCCTCTCAGAGGTGCACAGAGATAAAATAAAAGGCTGTGGACATCAACTCCATAAACAAAAATTCTAATTATTTATATTTTAAAAGAATAAAAATAAAAAAAAAATTCACAATGACTGTAGTCAAACCCTTGAACAGTCTTACCCACGGAGGCTGCAGGATCTCCATCCCTGGAGTTACCCAAAACTCAACAGGTCAAGATTCTACACAGCCTGATCTAAGTTGGCCCTGTTCCCTTAGATCAAGAGAGGTGAGAGCAAAGGTTGAAGAAAAAATTGGATCCACGTTTAGAAAGATGAATAAACAATTACAGGTTTTGATGCGGAACTTCTTCAACAATGTCCTATTAAACACAGTTCTATAAAGACCTCACAAAATTATTTTAAATCAGACAAAAATCAGAACCCACACTTTACTTTCAGTTACAAAGACTGGTAAAGGACAGTTTAATAAAATACATTTCTTTGCTACAACTGTCTTTCTTTTTTTTTAATTTAAGTGTAAAGCCTTAAAAATAGTGCTTCCAAAACCTAACCACTGAGAAAGGTTATTTAACTATATCCCTAAAGCACTGAAGATACAAATAAGCCTTCAGCATTTCTTTCTTTCTTAGAAACTAAACAATAATATATGGTATCATATTTAAAGTTTTTATTAAACAGAACAATAAGGTTGATTATCAGAACAGTATTTTTCATTTTAAAACTTGGTTAAAGAATTTGTTTATATAAATGTTCATTGACTAAGTTCAGGAAGTCTATTTATAGGCATCCTAATTATGCACTTCATTTAATATACAATCATTTGCTTCTATAGATAACTGAAATGTTAACACCAGTACTAAGCATAAAATGACATATAAGAAGTCATACTGCAAGCAGTTAGATTGTTTTTGAAGTAAAAAAATACACTGCTTTAAAAATATTTTAATATAAATATTTTACTACTGTATATACAGAAGTATCCCCTTATCTTTTAAATATTCATTTATATTTTAAACAAAAAACACATCTACAACAAAAAGTTTTACACACATTTACATTTATAGTGTAATGTTACATAAACAGTCTTCTCCTGCCCTTAGTTTTTAAGCATTAGAAATACTTCAACATCTTAGAAGGGCACAAAGAGCTTTACCAAATATTCAGGATGTAAATATGAGCAGGCCAACCAAAAATCTGCTATGGTAAGCACTGGCACAAAAAAAATCCTCACAGTACGTGTAATGAAAAGATGGAATTAATCTTTACAAGAAGATTACCAAATATTAAGCTACACAAGAAATATTTTTTCTATCTCATCAATGACAGGCTAGTGTCACAAATATATGCCTGGTTCTGCTTGGCAACATTTTGTTAATACTCTGTTCATTAATTTAACAAACTATCAAGAGAGTATGTTTAGAATGGGCAAGCATTATCTCTAGCATTTCATTTAATTAAACTCTGTTCTAGCAATATGACAGTCAGCATTTCATGAAGGGAATTATTTTAAGGATGAAGGTAGAAAATATTTCAAAGTGCCCTGCTAAAACATGAAAGCATAATCTAAAATTACCCCTGCACACACTGTAATTTATCTATAATATTAAAGATGTTATTTCCAGAGTTCATAATTAATTGGATTCCACAGAGAAATTATTGAGGCATTCCAGATAGCAAAATGATGCACAAAGGCACAAAACATAGTGCCGAAGGACAACCATAAACAACCACTGTGACTTGCCTGAATTACAACAATCATTGAGTTTAATGTGAAATGAATACTGGCTGCATTTTGTATGTGGTCATTACTCTGCTGCAAAGAAATTGCCATTGAATTTTGATTATATTGCCTTAATAAAAAGTAATGAAAGTGGCTCATGCTCTAGTGGCTTTCTTTTAAATGATACACGACAGTGATCTTGCAAAGGCCAGTGTGCCACAAATTGATTGAGTACGACACCTCCTCTGAAGAAGGCAATGTTACCCCACCATTGTCGGTAACTGCAGTGATGTTGGCTTGACTTTTTGCAAACATTTTAACTAAACAATTTCAATGAAACACCAGTTAGAAATTAGGTTAGCTTTTAAAACTTACCGTCGATCCGACTAACAAGTTCTTCCAACATTTTCACTTTCTTTTGAATTCCTGGCTGTGCAAATGTGTAGTTATCCTGAAGAAGAGACCAAATACAAGTATAAGTTTGGGGGGTGGAGGGGGAGGAGGAAGTTTCTTTTCCTTCAATTAGTTATCTCAATCCATGTATTTTTCTAGGTTTTCTTAAGGCGTTTGTGTTTTGTTATTACATTTCCTAGGTCTGCTTCTACGGTTAAGTAGTAAATTATCACACCGTATCTTCCTACTTCAAGTCCCTGTCTCTAAGAGTACATCCTATAGCTATTACCGCATCAATTGCTCTCTACTTGCTAATCTAGTGCCCCTGAAGTTACATCTTTATTGCAGAAGTCCAAGTAGCTTTAAAAGGCTGTCATTTTAAATGCCCAAATGCACCACACTAGAGATTTTTTAAGAGGATTTTTTTTCCTCATAAAATTACAATTTTGTCACAAATCATGTAGGAAATATGAAAATTTAGACCCCAATCAGTGACAGGATAAGAATTTGATATTTAGAAGTTCAGAATAATACCTTCCAGCAGCATAAGAAATCAAAAGTCTATTTCAATGGAGTCGTGACTCTTCTGAACCCAGGGTTACAGTTAATATCATGAATCAAAATCTAACACACAAGCTATATATCTAAAATGGCAGGGTATTTGCATGTATTTGTTTGAACGTATTAACTCTAACTGGATTTTTCCGTTTTGGATTGCAGGTCTATAATATAGTTTCAAATAACAGAAAGAGGAAGATATCTCCACTTCAACCCCAAAGTGATCAATACTTTTAAATAAAATTGTTATTTAAATACACAGCAATGTTTCTGAATATTTGGTCGATAATACCTCCACTCAACTCATTTTGTTACCATTTTCTAGATAGATTGATGAAAAGAAAGTTACCCATATATAATTTAAAAGAAAGTTGCTGTGTAAAATTGTTGTCATGTAACCATTACATACACAGAAAACCAGGGTAAAGGATTTTTTGTCTCAGCTGCTATCGTTCGAATAATTCCTTTACTAAAATAAATTGGAGCTGAGCAACTATCTCAAAAATCATCCTAAAAAAATTTTCACTGATGTTGGAATAGTAATTTTTCTTGGCTTGATTTCAAATTTTAACTTGGCCATAGAGTAAAGGGATGAATATAATTTTTATGTATCTGAAGACATTGGTCTTCTTATCAAAAAAAAGGCCATATTTATTTTCTTGACAATATTTACTTTTTTTAAATTTTTTTTTTATGAAATTGAATTGCAATTTAAACTTCAAATTCTATAAAATTGCCGTAAAGTACAAAACCTGAAAATTCACAACAGAAAATTATACACTAATATTTCTCTTGGTTCCCGTACTTCAGCCAACAGTGATTTACAGTATCAAAAAGTCTATTATGTGCTCTGATCATTTGTAACTGACCACATCAGCAGCTATTCAAAAAATTATAGCAAAGTTCTCTGCTGGTTTAGCAGTAGCACTTTCACAGTATTCAATATTAGAAATCAATGTATAAGCCAAAACAGTGTTGTTGAAGAAGCAGGATAATTCTCTGAATTTTGGCATTTTCCACAGGCATCACCAACTAAAATAGGCAACCATTTCATCTTGTTGGCGTTGTCTCTCAAACAGAACATGAGCATCCTCAGTAGTGCAACAAAGCATCAAAACTGAAAGAATGGAAAGTCTCACACAGAATTCAAATATAAACTTATTTCAGGGTCAGAGAAACTATCTCAAGCACTGGGACCTTTTATAGAAGTCTGACACACTCCTATTCTAGACATGTATCATATACAGGATACAATATTTTTAGGAAATAGCATATTCATTTTCTTTACAGAAAACTAATGAAAACTGAATTCATGTTTTTTTTCAAATTTTTATATACTGTTCTATTTATTTATTTAAAGAAAGTTAACTGGTATTTCTAGAAGTAGGACTGTTCTCAAAGTACAGCAATATGGTACTCGACTGTTAAATCTACAGCAGATCCTCTGTAAAAGTATCTTCACGGATTTAACACCGAAAGCCAACACAGAGCTAAAACGCTTCTACTTTGATTAGTCTCTCCCCAGGTAGTGCAACTCCCGACTGTGATCTGTGAATCTGAAAGAGTTTTCTTTCTCAAAGCATCATTTACTCCCTGCATACCTGGAAACACAATCCAAAACTGCCATCTTGGATTTGAAAACAGGTAAGTTTGCTCTTCATTATATTTGATCTTTTGCCTATTCATTTATTTTTCTGTTCATTATTTCAGCCACAAATGAACACAGCTGGGTGTCACTCTTTACTTGGGCTGACTCAGCTAACTGGAAAGATCTCTGTTGGCTCCCCCAGTCCTCTCTTCTAATTAAACTATGCTGTACGTATTCCCTCCTATGACACTTGTAATTGACTTTCTGGAGTTTGCGAAACTGTAAGAAGGACTTTGTAAACAAGAAAGTATTCTGTCATCGACTATTCTTGCTCCTTTTGTGCTTATAGGTGGAAGAAAAAGCTAGTAACACAGTTACAATAAAAACCATGTCAAACTCGTGAAATTTATTAATTATTTCACAGGGCAATACAGAAGTACAGTGGTTAAGACTTTAATTCCTTTATCAGACAATTTAGTTGGCAAAAACAGCTTCAAAATTTAATTCAACTTTACTCCCCACTGTTCTACCTCCTCCCTGCAAGTGGCACAGGGGGATGGGGAATGGGGGTTTTGCTCAGTTCGTAACACTTCATCTCTGCCGCTCCCCATGGACCATACGTCTTGCCAGAAAGCCTGCTCCTGTGTGGGCTCTTCTCCACTGGTCAAAGCTCTTGCCAGTAGCCTGCTCCAGCACAGGCTCTCCACAGGCTGCAGCTTACATCAAGGCATCTCCACCTGCCCCAGCGTGGGGTCCTCCCCGGGCCGCAGGTGGGGATCTGCTCCCCTGTGGGCCTCCCTGGGCTGCAGGGGCACAGCCTGCCCCACCATGGGCTGCCCCAGGGGCTGCAGGGGAATCTCTGCTCTGGTGCCTGGAGCCCCTCCTGCCCTCCTGCTGCCCTGGCCTGGGGGGCTGCAGGGCTGCTCCTCTCACACATTCTCACTCCTCTCTCTCAGCTGCTGTACTGTGGTTTTTACCCTTTCTTAAATACATTATCACTGCGGCATCACCAGCATCACTGATGGGCTCAGCTTTGCCCAGCAACAGGTCCACCTTGGAGCTGGTTGGAACTGGCTCTGTCTGACATGGGGCCTCTTCTCACAGAGGACACCCCTGCAGCTCTCCTGTTACCAAGACTTTGCCACGTAAACCAAATCCAAGTTCTCTGCTAACTTTAGCAGAAAAAAGTGTTACAATATTCAAGTCCCCTACCTATTCCCCCTCACAGCTGTGGGTCCTCACAGGAATGTTTCATTATTCATCCTGCAAATTTTTGTTGTATTTTCTCATTTATTCCTTGTGTAACTTTGACCATCAATATTAAGCAAAACTTTGAAAAAGTCATAAGTAACTTAGAACAGGATTGTCTTGTCTCAACAGATCTTCAGTAGTTAACATAAAACGCCTTATATTTCTAATCACTGAGTTGACACTTGCAGTAAGTATTCACACATGACAAAGTATGCATGAGTACACAAGAGAATCTATGATAAACATAAAAATTGCATGCATCGGTGCGCAGTACCTAAATTCCTTGACACTGTGCTCAGATAGCTTCCACACACTTTCAGTGAACTATGCTAACCCTCCTTCACAGCTGAATGGTTATAATATCTAGTTCAGAGTCCGACACATAATTAGTTTCACCTTGCAATACAGAAGGTTAAGACACTGTAATGTCAGAAGGGTTCAAAACTCACTTCAGCCTCAAATCTTTGTGCTAGTAGTCTACTTACTCTGTAGGGGCTCATATACCACCTCACTGCCCTGCATCTCCAGCTAGGCCTGGCAGGACTTCTCAAAAAAATAATCAACGCAATTTAAAATAAAATATTTCAATTACAGCCTTAACTAAACATGAAAAAACATATTAGGTTACTTTTTTTAGATGTTAGAGACATTCTAAATGGAAGAAACTAAAATAAAGTAAATAAAGAAAAAATGCAGGGAACAAATTTAACTGGGACTACCCTCCCATTCTGACAAAAAGAAAGAGAGCTCACAGTTTCTAAGAGTACATTTAAGCACTGGGTACCAAGTCCCATTCATTTTGTTAGCTCTATTCTGAATGCTAGTAAGATATAACTTGGAAAAGTGTTTACATTTAAAAGTAAGTCCTAAAGTAACCTTTTCTGCAGATACACTGAGAAAACGATATGAGTGAACCAAGGATGGTCCTACTTGCATTCTTAATATCCTCCAAATGTTGGAGTATATACACCATACATGGCTACCATTTTTTATTTGTCAGTCAGGAAAAAAATACCAGAGTAGATTCTAGTACTTTCAACCATGTATATCACCGAGATTCTTGGTCACTCTGATAAATACTGTAACAAATATACTCAATTTCTAATCACCATAAGCAGCCACAATACTGACAGCTATCTGTTCAAAATATTGCTAACTTATGATGGAGTGCTAAAAAGAACAGAGATGCTTTTTAAGCGCATGTTAAATGTACTTCCAAAGCAACTGTTCAGTAAGTTCAACGTGTCTCCATGTTATTTTAATTTTAAATCTCTTCCAAAATACTATGGGTACTTTAGAACCATGAGTCCATAATAAATCTGAAAATCTTTCTTTCCTACTTTGTCAATTATTTCAGTTACACGTGCAAAAAGTACTATGTAAACAGCATTTGTGAATGCCATCTGGTGTATAAGTACAAAGGCAGCTGTACGCATACACAGAAGGTATCAAATACATACTATTATATATAATAACATATGTATATTACTAATTATAAATAATAAATTTCTAAGTATAAGTAATATATACACATATATAAACACAAAGAAGGATATACAAACAGATATATATACACACTTTATACATTGACACACACACACACAAATGAAAAACACACTCCATTACTTTTTCTACTCATTCCTTAGGAAAGATTCTGAAGT